AATAATTTCGCGGGCCGGAGTTGGCCCGCGGGCCGTACTTTGCCCACCACTGGGATAGACGATTCCAACAGTTATTTCGTCGTGTGTGTTGGATTGGTCGCTGGTTTCAAGCCCGGCTCGTCTCAGGCGTGTGTGTAAACCTCGGTAACGGTGACACGGGACGCGGGAACGGAACAAGTGGATACGCGGCTTTAGATCTTTAGCCGAGGCGTTGGATACTCGCGGAGGCGCTAAGTCAAGGCCAAGTTCATCGAGGTCACTACGGGACGGGGGCAGGTGCCTCCTCGGTATTTCTGTGTTCCTGTTCGAAGAGCGGGGGCGGCTCCCGCGGAGGGCAGGCCGTGGAATATCGCGGGGCGGAACCAGGACGTGAAGAGGCGGTGCGGAACCCGCGACCCCGTCGTAAAACGGCTTTAGCGAACCGTCTCCACGAGATTATTCACCGAACGAGACCCTCTCGTTCCCGATTGCACGTAGTTTCGCCGAACGGCGGTCAACTCCGAGAGGAGACCGTTACTAGTGAAAGGGTTTAGATTTCAGTTAGGGGACGGAAGGCAGCTCCGAGGCGGAAACGCCCAGGCGTTTAGGTGTACCGCGTGGCGTCGCCGATCTACGCCCAGAAGACGCGTGGGTGTGCGGCTGCGGCTCCTTAACCCTAAACCGTCGGGAAACCAATGTCTCTTACGTCTGACGAATCGATAAACCGAACCACCGTCTGCTCACTGTGTCACTAATTCTACTCGAGAATCAATTGTCAAAGCAGAATAGACGATTGAGAATCTCATGTCGATGCTTGATTTAATTTATAGATATTCATTATAAATTACAATAAAAATAATTACGACTGATAGTAAAATCATTGTTCAATCGTTTGATATAACAGAACTTTTTCATTCATCATACTGCAACTAAGCGTGGGTGGAATCCCGGCCGAGGGTGAACCCTTTCTCTCTAACGGACAACCGAAATCGAGGAAAGCTGTGCTAGTGATCGGACAGATGAACATTGATTGCTAACATAGTCGACAAAACAAGCATACACAAATACACACAACCATTCATTTATGAACGAATGCGAATTCTAGCACCATTTCATGTTTCGAACAGGTATTTTTATAAAAGAATGCAATTTTTTTTATGTACGAACGAATATGAGTACACGGTTTTAATTTATTCAATTTCCTTCCATAACTAATTTCGAATCTCCAAATGCATCAATAATTACGCAAAGTATTCCTTAAAATCTTTTAGACACTCTAGAGCAGTGGTGGGCAAAGTACGGCCCGCGAAATTATTTAATCCGACCCGCCGAGGGCCCATCGACATGGATAGTATATGGC